TATAGATTAGTAGTAGTAATATAGGAATTAGGAAAAACGATACGACGCCGACTCCCCGTTTCCTGTGATCAGCAGCGCGAGTCATGACTCTTTCCTTCATGCGCGACTGCTCGAGTGCTCGTGCGGCGTGGTCGTGTCGTGTGAGGCTGCGATGGGCCTGGCAGCTTGCTTTCCAGCGGAGCAGAGGCCAAAGAGGCGAAGAGAGAACGGAGAACATCAACAGGCAGGGCGCACTGCCGCAGGCGCCAGGCGGCAGCCGGCAGCAAGGGCCCTAATTCTCTATCCTGATCGGCTGATCCCTATTCTATTCCTCATCTCTGTTCGGCTTCGGCAGTTCCAGTTCCAACAGGCAAGGTACGAATCTGAAATTTAATTACTAATTGTTTGTCACGTGGTCCCTACTTTATAAAATTGTAGTTACTAATTGTTTGTCTAAATTTTAGCAAGTAACACTACCATGTCATCAAGAACGTATCCTTGTGGCAACGACAAAAGAAAGAAGAAAAAGCGAATAGATGATTTGGTAGAATCACATAGAGGGGCTCTTCATAAATTTCTTAAGAGTAATACAATCACTTCAAGAGATCCAGATGCATTGGTGATAGTTGTTGTGGAGTTTGTTACAGAAGGTAGTTGTTATCCTAGTACTTTTATTGCTTATCGCATCTTGTTTACTATGCCAGTGGCTGTCTCATCAGCTAAAAGAAGCTTCTCAAAATTAAAATTGTTGAAGAACTATTTGAGATCTACAATGCCACAAGAGGTTGAAGGGATTGGCAACATTATGCATTGAGAAGCGATTGTTGGATGAGATTGATATTGAAAGCATCATCGATGACTTCACCTCAAGGAGTGTTAGAAGAAAATTTCAAGGTAATTTAATATGTATACAAATTATTTCATATGCATATTGCTTTTGCATTCAGTTAACTACTTATTAGTAACATTTTGTATATGTATGTGTATATACTACAAATAGGTAGTACTTGTAGCATTATCATGTTCATATAAAAATATCCAAAATTTTAGGTTCCTTCCAGGTCAAAAATACTCGGGACCGGTCCCGGTGGCGGTCAGGTACGGTGGAGAAGGTGGGCGGCGCCAGGTGGACAAATTGGAGAGGAAGCCAGCAAGCGGAATCAGTCTCAAAGAGATCAGAGTACAATGGAGTGGGAGTTAAGGACCAGGTGAGTGTACGTAGTGGAGTGGCTGTCGGCCCAACCATGTGAGCATTGGATAGAAATTGACCATCCAGACTGTCCCAATTAATTATGGAAGCACAAGAAGATGGTAATATCCTTTTTCCTATTAAATTGTCAGAGGTTTGGGTTTTGGCAAATTCTATTGGAGTTCATCCCTTCTAATCGTGGATATTATTGCTCATGGTAGGAAATTTACCTAGACTAGAGATAGAGGCGGTATCAACATGGTATAAATAATTAAATAGCTATGTAGTCCGTGGTTGTAATCCGATTGCATTGCGCTTAGGAAACCCTATATGCATATTGCTGTAACTTTTCACCAAGATAATACAAGATACAATGTTGTTTAATCTTTGGAGCGAGCACAAAGTGTCTTCTCAGAAAGAAACATGGTTATCCATCAGGCTAAACAAAATTACTTCCCTCATATTCTTTTATGGGTAGAATAGTTGTTGTAAAAGTTTTCATTTTTTATCTTTTTCTTCGTCTCTTAAACTCTTTTTGTACACCTGTTTTTCTTTAGTAAAGTTCAGTAGGGGCTTGCCCCTCCTGTTTGCTTCAAAAAGAAAAAAATGGTGCTGGACGTAAGGTATTTACCCAATTAGTGGGCTGAACCAAGATGAAAACCTGGTTTATTCTATATTTCATATTTGTGGCCCATCTTCACTGATACACGAATTTCTACCGAGCCATAATTTATGCTGGTACAAAGTAGTGGAGCATGTTGTAGTAAATTGATTGGAGAACAGGATACAAGAACAACATATAGATTGGCTAACTTGCCCTCCCTCTGTAGGCACTGAGCTGCTTTTAGATCTAATTCTACTTGCCTAACGTATGCCTTACGGCTTCCTTTATAGACTAGGAACCTAATAAATCTCCTAACAAATCTTATCCATGTAACAAATCAATTTTAGTATATCTGCTAGCAAATCTAACAAACCGTAAAGTAATCCTAGGATGTAATCAAGCACATCTAGGACTAGAATCGGTCCACTCGCCATAACATTTCACCACCTTTCTAAGACAGCTCGTCCTCGAGCTGTGATAATACGCAGAGGTAGTCAGATAGAGGCTTGCTGCTCCGAAGGGGACGGATGGAATGTGTTCCAGTGCTGCAGTAGGCTTTTGCACTAATTAACCCAATCTGCTAACAAACTAATCCCTAAGCAGTTGTGATGCAGCACGTCAGGCCATGAAGCAGCACACCTAGCAATGAATGCATTATCCCAGGGACCAGATGAAATAGGCCCATATGTGTCGTTGCGATAGAAGTTCCTAAAAAAAAATCAGCACGTCTAGCGCACACGGACGTCCGGCCCGTGTCCCGATTTGACCGCTTATGGGGCCAGTGGCAATTATAGCGCGTACTTCTATCAGGAGCAGCCTCACGCCTGACCGCGCACTCCTCATCATTTACTGCTGGCTAGTTTGGTGTGAGAGAAAAACACGGTTTCTGACTGAAAATTTACGATCGTTTACGACCAAGCGAACAGGCTACCTGTTGCCCGCATGCTGCTACTGACGCATCATGCTGCTGCTGATTGACCACATCTAGCTGGAATAGGGGGGGGGGACAGAGCAGCCCATCATACATGCAGCTTAGTGCTCCACGCTGGCTTTGTGCACACGGGAACCGCTGCGCCCCGAAGGGACCACCTCTGCCTATGATATATGTGTATGGGCACCGCAATATATGCAACATCTAGATAAAACACTTGCAACATACGTTTGAAACATTGGAAACATACACTTACAACATACGTGTATAGCCAGTGCAACATATGCAACATCCAGATACAATAATTACAACATAAGTATGAACGCAGATAAAACGTTTGAAATATGCGTCTGAAACACTTGTAAAAAGCATATGAAACCCTTGAAAACCATTGTAAACATACGCAACATCCAGATAAAACACTTGCATCATATGAGTGAAACATATGAAATATCCAGATAAACACACTTGCAACATACATCTAAAAAAAAGATGAAACATTGGGAATAAATGTTTGCAACATATATATGTGTACAACCATTACAATATATGCAACATCTCGATCTACTTTTGCAACATCCGCATGAAATAATTGAAACATACATTTGAAACAACCAAAACACTTGAAATATGTGCTTGCAACATGTATGAGAAAGCATCCAGAAACACTTGAAAAAAACATCATCGCCGCACGACCATGACCTACCTAGTGGGCAACTGCGGTGGCGTAGGCTCGCTGGATGGTGCGCGCCCCGCACGCCCCCGCCATGCCCGCCGTCGGCCGAGGGAGAGGAGACGATGGCCAGATCTGAGGAGGGCGCCGCCGGCCGGGGTAGGAAAGGGTCAGCGGCTTGCTTGAGCCCGGGCGCTAGTGCCTGCTCCTTGCGGGATCTGCAGTGCCTCCCCAGGGCCGCGGCAGGCACACGCCTGTCAGGGGCCGAGGCACGAGGTTCTCCTTGAGCTAAGCGAGGTTTGCTAGCGTGCCCTCCGGGAAGATGAGCTTGGGGATGGGAAGGAGCCCATGCTCGAATGCCTCCCACTGTGGGGGATGGGGTGGCGGGGGCTGGCGGCATCACTGGACGTCCGGCGGCTAGTCCAGGGCTTCGTCGGCCATCACGGCGACGCGAACGGGGCGTGGAGGAGGGAGAGATCTGGGAGTGTGGCGTGGGAATGGCGAGGGTCGGAGGAAGTGACTTGATGCGGACCTACTTTTTCTTCGGCATGATCGCTCCATTGGGCCACATGGCCAGGCGCACGATGTCCGGTATCGCAAAAAAAAAGTGTGTTGCAACGGACCGAGGCTAGTCTTTGTGTGGAGTCTGAAATTATGAGGACCCAGGCTAGGCTTTGACTCCCTAGATGATTTATAAGGGTGGTTCAAATTACCAACTGCCCCCAAATGATTTATAGTGGTAATAATGCCTTTATTTGTAGGGTTAGCGGGAACCACCAAGCGTCATTCAAAATGGACATTTCGAGGGGCGGGCGGTAAAACCAAACGCTCCTAGAACTCAATTTTCTAAGGATGGTCGATCTCTAAAACTATATCAAGGACGGCCAAAGTAAAAATTATTTCTAAATAGCATCTCTAAAAAACATTTTTTTTGTAATAGTGTTTGTCTCCAAACTCAGTAGTAACTCATTGCATTATATCCATAGCTTCGAATATATTCTTTGTTGGTTTAGGAGGGGGGGTGTGAGATGCATATTCGGAGTTCCATAAGTTCCATTCCTTCCAAAGATAAATAATCCCGGGTTTCTTCCCGAAAATCTAAGAATAGAAGAATAGGTTCTGTACTTGTGAAGTTGTGATCCTCCTTTTTTTTTTGTGGAGTTTACGTTGTTTCCTTTAGACTTTATGGCATTATTTATTGTTTTGGTTTAATTTTCAGAGTCATCAGGCAATAGACCTCAGAAATTCAACGCCAAGACTAGTCAACAATCTACGTTGCGGGTGGGTGTTAAAATCAGATGGCTCTAGTTTGGTTGATCTCTGCTCTCTCCATCTCCGGAAGATGGTTTTGACGCCTCGCCTATTGGCTAGTTAATTAGAGAAGCAAACAAAGAGTGGGCAGCGCGAGCATTGAGCACATCACACAGCCAGAACCACTATTTCTGATTCGTTGCATTGACAATTGGAGATTGCATACCGCTGATAACTCATCACATTTCACCCTTACAATTACAGACAAAGGTAGACGTAAAATCGTCAAGAGCACCGCGACAATCGGCAAAGCGTTTGTTTACATGGACGGATGAGGATGACGGATCCCGGCACCAACCGGCCATGGTTCAGCTCACCTGCTTACGAGCGGGAACCACTTCTCCCGGAAGTTGGACTGGTAGGAGACCATGACGAGGAGCAGCAGGAGCAGGAGCCCGAGCCCGACGCCCCACGGCGACCCGCCGGCGCGGTGGATGGAGTCCCGCTCGGGCATCGGCACCGCCAGCAGGTCGCCCACGCTCCGCCCCACCCCCACGCCCTCGCCGGAGACGCTGGACAGCAGCCGCACGGCCAGCAGCAGCGCGAACGGCGACGCCATGAGCACGATGCGAGCCTGGTACGCGAACGACTCCGCGGCCGACTCGTAGCTCGTGTACCACGAGAAGCCCAGGAAGAGGAGCAGCACCAGCAGGAAGAAGCACAGGTGCAGCGGCACTTCCAGTGCCGCCGACGCTGACGCCGACGCCGAGCCACCGCCGCTATATGAGTTCCCCATGGATCTCGGTAGTGGTGGCTTCAGAGTTCAGGCCTTCAGCTGGCGGTTTGTGAATGGTTTGTTTTTTCAGGTGATTAGCAGGTGGTTTTTCTTCGATCTTCTTGATGCAATGGAGGCTGGGCTCGATCTGGGTCAGCTCATTTATACGGCCTGCGCGGCACGCCGCAACACGCCACCAGCCAATGCGCGCTCGCCACGACTGACCGGCTACACATGGCGGGCTCGAGCGCCGGCCACTCGCCGCACGACACGTACGCACCGCACGCGACATGGGCGGCGAGCCAGCGAGCAGCGGCACGCACGCCCCCGCGCGCGCACGTGGGGCCGGCTCCGCGGGAAGAGGAGGTGGAAGCGGGCGCCTTTGCTTAGCCCAAGCCGCCAAGCCCTTCCCGATCGCGTGCGCGTCGACGCGAAGCAAAGCGCGCGCGCGGCGGCGGGGCCGGGACGTCAGCGGGTGCGCGTCGAGCGGGGGTGGGCGTCTGGCGTGGGTCTGCTAGCTGCCGTTGCCGCGCTGGGCGGTGCCGTGCGTGAACCGTGCCGTGCAGCAAGCTGCCTTGGTCAGGCAGCCGGATCTGTACTTTTCTTAGGGGCGGTGTAACGGTGTTCCCTACCGCTCAAGCATGACCTGCAGCTCTTGCGTGGTTTGAGATCCAAAAGCTGTGGTTAAATGGAGACGACGAGGCAAGGATGTCTGCTAGTGGTTTGCAGGACTACCGTTTGTAGTAAAGTTTCGTAGGGACGGTTTCTAAGCAAATGTGTCTACAAATCATTAATTTATGGGGGCGATTCTCAACCTTTTTTTATGGGTTGGAGTGAGTGACCCGATTAGAAAGAAGGAGTTGCAACTCTTTATACGTGGGGCATTTGTAGGGACAACTGGTGATTGAGCCGCCCCTACAAATCAAAACAGTAGGGGCGGCTGGTGAGTGAGCCGCCCCCAATAAATCGACTTATTTGTAGGGGCGGCTCGTATCACCAGCCACTCCTAGTGCGCCATTTATGGGGGCGGCTGGGCTCGTGGTACCATGGGGGGCACTGTAGCAACAACTGCAGAGTGAGCCGTCTCTTAAAAAAAAGGTGCCATTGTTACAAACTAGTTCTGTAGTGTTGGTTTGTAGTGTTTCAGTGTGTGGTATGGCAGGAATAAGAGTGATGAGGGCATGGAGACCAGTGTTACGGTCTTGAGCCTGTTCGCTTGCTCGTAAACGATTATAAATTTCCAGCCAGAACAGTATTTTTCTCTCACACCAAACCAGCCAGCAGTAAATAATCCACGATCGTTTACGGCCTCCCGAACAGGTTGTTGGTGGTCACGTGACATGTGACTTGCCATCTGATTTATTTGCTTGTACTCTTTTAGCAGATATGGTGCTTGCCCTTCTTTTAGCATCTGTGGTCGATCCATCATTTATCTTTTTAACCGGTGGCGGTGATAGGAATAATTATATGATATGATAGGGTTTGTAAAGATCAAACATTTTTATTTAACACTACAAATTACGACAGCTCCTCGCGCAGAAGCCTTATCCACGTCGCTACAAATTGCGACAGCTCGTCCCGCAGAAGCCCTATCCACGTCGCTCCAAATTTCCCTGGCCGTCCGATCTCGCGTTTGACGGTCCAGATCTCTTGAAGTAGCTTCTTGCTCACGACCGATTCTCTTGTTTCTGGTTGGCTTCTCCCCATTATCCTCTGCTTCTCCTGCTTCTCGTATGAATCCAGAAAACCAAATATAACTACGGCTCCTGATTCTTCTTCCAGATTCTTCCCTCCTCTCTCTCTCTCCCCATCGCTCTCTCCCTTTCCACCCCGACTCGAACACGGCGACGGGAGCGACCGGGGTGCGGCGGCGACCCTCCTCCTCTGCCTCCTCCTCCTCCTCCGCTCTCCCTCGCCTGCCTCTCACCTCCGTCTCTCTCTCTCTCTCTCTCTATATCCCCTTCCCTCCCCGATGCGGAGGGCTGATGAGGCGGCGGGCGCCCCAGAGGCGGTCTTGGTGTGGGCTGGTGGGTCCAGCAGGCCCTCCTACCTCTCCCCCATCCTCCTCGACGTCGCCCCGTAGTGCCGTGGCTTTTCCTGTGCTCCATGAAACCCTAGGTGCCTGTCTCTTCCTCTCTCTCGATCTGTTGAACAATCACCGTCGCATGTCGCCGTCTTCGACCAAACTGTGCTAGATCATGCGTGCCTACTCCTGATTTAGGATTCTATATGTCCAGGATCTTTTCCTTTTGTATTGATTCAATTTTTGTTTTCACTATTGATTTTTGTTTCCAAGGATCTAATGGGGATGTGCTGTCTATTTATTTTTTGTGTGCCAACTAATGTGCCTACGTGTCTTAGTGATGATGCCGGCTCCCCCTTCCTCCTCTCTACAAATTGTTAGTTGATAAACCATTTTCAATATGCAACAGAACTGGACCTCCTCTAAAGAAGAGAATACTGTGTAGATACATCGGCAATTCACATCTTACTTAACCATCCGTAACTTTGCGTGATGCTGGTTCTTGCCGGTTAATTGACAGTGTAGGTTAGATTGGCTAACATGATATTTACTACAGTATGTACCATCAGGCTGTGTCGCATAAATGATCATGTTTGATTTTGTGCCAGCATTCAAGAATGCTGATTCAACATCTTTTGGACATATATTTGAATTACCCTCTCATTTTGCTTTGGATTTGATCTTATGAATTCACTGTTGCTGTGGATCTACATGTTCCTTAGCCATTCTTCAATTGTATGATTATTCCATCCAATATTGTCCCCTACAATATCCATCAGCTCCACCACCAGGAAAATTTCTCTGGAAGCGGCTTCTCGTGCCCACCACCCCTTCTGCTTGGATTTGGTTATGATCGGATGTTCTCAGCATCTGCCATTTGCCATTTTTCCCTTCTTCAGCCTGTGATGAAAATTCCATACCATTGCTCAAGGATACGATCTGATGTTCATTCGCTTGTGAGGCACTGGGCATGACCTGCTACAGATATTATGCAATTCCTCAGAGTAACCCAGTTGTCGGCATGCCTTGAAGCTCCAAGTTGATAAACATATGGTGATTGGTATGTTTCTGAGGCCTCTAAAAATCTTGCCTTCTTTGAAAAAAAATGTTACCTTCTTCGTTGCCGCAGCAGAAATTTTACGAACCTTTAAAACAATGTGGTGGTTTGCAAACAGAAATGTCACTGGGAATTACTATTATTTATGTCATGCCTGGGTGGCTTCTACCACATAGTATTTAACACAAAGAACGTTAACGCGCGCGCAGCTCTTGTGGGGTACACACCTTATCCAATCTATACACACACGGAGAGTTGCGAACTCAAATGAGAAATAAAGAAAAACGCCAAAAGAGATCCTTGTACAGTATGTAGAAAGACACGTCGAAAGTCTTGTCAAATGTAAGCTCTGGTAAATCAATTCATCCATCCCCATTGAAGAGAGTTGTTGCTGAATTTGCGCCATGCATAAATCGTGCAAGCTGTGAATGCTGAAAAGAGGACAGATACTAGCACCACGATGAGTACTTTCGGGTATGGGTGCTCGGCTACCATAAGGAACACTCCAGTCGTTAGTTGCGGCAGTACGACAGCAATACAAACCAAGGATGTCCCCTACAATAATATAAGGTTATTAGAACCTAAGTAATAATATTATACTCCCTCCGGTTCATTTTATTTGACGTAAGTTAGAATGATACGGTCTCCTAAATTACACTTTGACCATTTATTTATTTTATATTATATTATTTATGCTTATAAATTTATAATCATTAGATAGTATAATTCTTTACAAACCTAATCATATAAAGTTTGTATTATAATAGCTAAAAATTATTAGCCTAATCATTGGTTAAAGTTTTTAAAGTTTGAATCTTAATATGCATGTGCGCCAGATAAAATGGACCGGAGGGAGTATAAACTTAGGAGTAGATTCTTGGAGATAGTTACGTACTATGTATCAATGTATATGAATGCTGAGGATTGTTTCTAGGAACACTAATTATTTACGAGCCCTGTGAGTAGAATAAAAAATCCTTTGTTCTTTAGGTTTCAGAAAAATACGTACTGAATTTAAATTTAAGGGTTATTTGATTGCTCCCCGGTTTTAGTCATCTTTTGGTGGGCATACGTTCACCTACGTTGCATTGAACTGAGATTGTTTTCCTCCACTATGATATCTGATTCCAATCTATGGTTAATTTGTACTCATACTGCTTATATTTTTTTCTGAATATTTTTTGCTTCCTTCCTGCACAGGTTGGTATTTCTTGATTTTGTTGCGTACTTGCATTATTAACAGTATTTGTGTCTCCACTCCATGTTGGATTCCTTCATATGCATGTTGCCTGTTGCTACCTTGTGGGTCATTTAGGCTTCCTCTCATTTATGTCGACCTTTTCTATTTTCCCATCTATTTACGCCTGCTGTTTGCTGAGATCAGTGCTGTGAAATTTTTACTCCCCTTAGATGTCTTCAGCTAATGTCACCTTCTTTGCTTTTGTCCCTTGCTTTTTCGGACCAGGTAGGTACTGCTATAGCCATCCATGTTTTTTCGGACCAGATAGATCCGGCTATATTCATGTCGTCCATATTTATCTTATTCATATGCGTTCAGCTAATGTTACCTCTTTGCTCATGTTTTGAATTGGAAACAGCAGCCCACACACATGCCCCACCAAATTTGCACTGAGCTTAAGCATAGTGTGGTAGTTTCCAAGGTACAGTGCCTTCATGCCCCTCATATGTTACATGAAATGTGGATGTCGTAACATAGCCCAACTCTAAAAAATCGATTTTAATTGTCACCAGATGTGGGTCAATCACTACATTGTTCTCCATGTCATTGATGTTCATTTAGAGACCAAAGAAAATCATGACATACCATGTTCTAGGTTTCTTTTTCCACTCTTGCTATCATTACCGTTCTTAACCTTGCACGTTTGACAATGCCAAAAGGTGCATTGGAAGACTTTAGGCAAATGTCATGGGTTAGTGGGT